TAAAAATAATTGAATTTTCCAGAATAATTTTCATATTTATCGAGATAATTGGATTCTTTTAAAAAATTATTTATGAAAATAATTGAATTCTCGGGTAGAATTTTATTTAAATCTTAAAGAATAATTGAATTATTTTTAAATAAAAATTTAATAAAAATTGCATTTAAAATAATTGAATCATTGCGAAAAATGTTATTAAAATGTTTAAAAAGAATTGAATTTCTGTAAAAAAAGAATTAAATTGAATTTCCAAGAAAAAATTCATTACTTTTAAAAATAATTGAATTCTTCATAAGAATTTTATAAACATCGTTTTAAATAATTAATTTTTTCGAAATATAATAAATATAATGAAAATTTTATTTTAAATAATAACAAAAAATTCTATTAAAACTTTTAAGAATATCATTTATTCTTAAAAGTTTTAATAGAATTTTATAAGAATTTTAATTAATTAATTAATTAATTTTAATTATTTTATTAATTTTTTAATTTTTTTTTTTTTTTTTTTTTTTTTTTTTGTCTGTGTGGCATTTTATTAAATTTTTTTTTAAATAATTGAATTCCTAAAAAGCATTTTATTATTTATGGAAATAATTGAATTCTTGCAAACAATTTTATTAAATTTTTTTTAAATAATTGAATTCCTGTGAAAAATTCTAATATTATTTTAAATAATTTAATTCTTCCAGAGAATTTTTAAAAACATTTTTTTTTAATAATGGATTTTTTCGAGGAAATAAAAGTATTAAAAATAATTACATTTTTCAACAATTCCTGTAAAATTGTATTAAATATAATTGAAATCCTGTCATGAATTTTATTAATTATGATAATAATTGAATAGTTGCAAAGAATTTCATTAAAATTTTCAAAAATAATTTAATTCTAGTGAAGAATTTTATTATTTTGTGAAAATAATTGAATTATTGACCAAAATTATATTAAAATGTTTAAAAAGAATTGAATTTCTTTGAAAAATATTGTTATTTTTTAAAATAATTGAATGCTTCATAAAAATTTTATAAACATTGTTTCAAATAATTAATTTTTTCAAAATATAATAAATATTATGGAAATTTTATTTTAAATAATTTAACTCTTGTGGAAAATTTTATTTGTGAAAATAATTAAATTTTTCGATTAATCAATTTAAAATAGTATTAAAAAGAATTGAAATTCTTCGATGAGTTTTATTAATTATGAAAATAATTGAATTCTTGCTTAGAATTTTATCAAAAATATTTAAAAAGAATTGAATTTTCATGAAATTTGTTATTATTAGTGACAGTAATTGAATTATTGTGAAGAATTGTATAAAAATGTTGTTAAATAATTGATTTTTTCGAAATTTTTTTGAAAATGATATTGTAAATTAATTGAATTCCTGTGGAAATTTGTTTATTTTTGAAAATAATTGAATTTTGGATGAATTTTATCAATTTTATTTTTAACTAATTGAATTCTTTTGCGAAATTTTATGAAAATACTAGATATTGATAATAATTGAATTTCGAATATTTTTTGAAAATAACAGAAATTCTACCTTTTAGTGTCTGAAATCTAAAAAAAAAAATAACCCAAAAAAAGCTTCTTTGTTTCAAAGAAAGTTTCTTTGAATCAAATAAATTTGTGCATTGTTATAGGGTCAAAAAAAAAGTTTCTTTGACTTAAAAAAATTATTTCTTTAACTGTTTTTTGTTGTCTCAAAGAAATATTTCTTTGGATTTAATAAATTTTTTTTAAGTCAAAGAAATAAATAAATCAAAAAAAATAATTTCTTTGAATGTTCTCGGCCTCTTATTTGTCTTAAAGAAATTTTTCTTTCGATCAAAAATATCATTCAAAGAAACAATGTCTTTTACTCAAAAAAAAACCTCGAAAATTGTTTTTCGTAAAAGTAAAGAAAACTTTTTTTAACTGAAACAAATTTTTTTTTGATTCAAAGAGAGAGTTTTAAAAAACGATTTCTTTATTTCAAAGAAATCTTTTTTCTAAGTGCATATAACGTAAAAAAAGTAAAGTAGTAAATAGTAGGTTTTAGTAGATGAGCCTGAGATGAAGAAAAAAACAATAATCCTTTTCAATTACACTACTTCTAATTGAATCGAATTTCCCACGCGGAAAGAATGAATAGTACATGTATCCTATTAACAACACGATCCCCAATGGAATCGGGTGAAATTTATTTGTATAATGCCAAAATACCAAAATGTATTATCGAAGCAAACTAAAATGACTTATCCTAACAATGATTCAGGAGCACCTGTGTAAAGCTTGATGTACAGTATTATTGGCCGTATGTGTATTCACGGTGGCTTTGAAGACCGTGCTACCAATTAACCACGCGGTCTAATTACTTCGAGTTTCTGCGCTAGCGTAAATATTGAATTTTGGCTTCAGCCTAACATGATTGGCATCCCCTGATTCCCCCGTGCTCCTTTCTCGCCAGCGATATTATGCTAATCACTTGCAATATTCGTGTACTATGCAAAATTCTATTGTATATAAATTTGAATTTTCTCCCAACAAAAAAAAACCAATAACAAAAGGTAAATAAATAAGAAGCCCATCACGCTAACAAACTAATTGGAATATAAACCCTTTAGCATGATACCGAATTATTTACCTGGAAATTACATTTTCCTTTACATATAGTTAAATATAAAAATCTCACTCTTTCACTTTTGTTTCCAAATCTGAAAAGGATTTTCGTTTTAAGAAAATTTTAATTAATAACAGGGTTACCACGCTTTTGCTCTTTTCAAATTCCCTGCCTTTTCCAGATTTTCCAGGTTTTTAATACGAAAATTATTCGAAAATATCAATAAATTAATTTTTAAATAAATATTTATCACTATTATTTTTTCATATAGAAATTAAAATTTTCAAAAATTTCAAATTCAATAACTTATAATAATTAAAACTTGCTACTTTCTTACTGTAACTTCTTCAAAAATTATTTTCATCATTATGATTATTAATTTCTAGAATTTTCAACTAAAATTCTTCTTCAAGTCAATTATTTTTTGAAGATTTATTTGAAAAAATTCTTTGAGAATTTTCAAATTTTTTTACAATTTAATTTGATGAAATTTTAATTATTCTGACAGTGCTCAATTAAATGTGTTAGAAATTGTAAACTTTAAATAATTTTAAAAAATTCCATTAAACTTTTTGAAAAAAATTAATTCTACAGAATTCTTAATTAAAAGTATGAAAAGTTCAAATTTTCAGAGACTTTAATTTTGAAACCTTTTGAACATTCAATTATTTCTAAAAATCCACACTATAATGCTTTCAATATTCAACTATAATGTAAAATTTTAACTGAAATTCATTTTTAAATCAATATTTATTAGAAAATTCTACGAGATTTCAATTATTTAACTACAAAAATAAATATTTTATTAAATAATTAAATGTTTCTTAAAATTGAATTTTCATATAAAGAATTTTATCAAAACAATTTTTTTTAATAATTGAATTCTCTTGACAAATTTTAATAAAATTTTTAAGAATAATTTTATTTGTTGAGAAATTCGATGAAAATTGTATATTAAAAATAATTGAAATTCTGCCAAGAATTTTATTATAATTTTTGAAAATAATTAAATTTCGGAGAGGAATTTTATTTTTTATATAGATAATTAAAATTTTGACGAGAATTTTTGTAAATTTTTGGAACATAATTGAATTTTTGCAAAGAATTAGAATACTTTTGAAAATAATTGAATTCTTAAGACGAATTTTATTAAAATATCTTTTTAAATAATTGAAATCTTTTGTGAAATTTTATTTAAATAGTAGACTGAAAATAATTGAATTTTGCCAAATTTTTGAAATTAATTAAATTTCTACGAAGAATTTTATGAAAATTATTTTGAAAAAAATTTTATTGTTACAAAGAATTTCATTATTTATGAAAATAAGTCAATTTTTTGAAGAAATTTAATTAAAAATGTATTGAAAATAATACTTAAATTGTAATAAATAAATTTTAGCAAAAGTTTTTAAAAGAATTTAATTTCTTTGCTGAATTTTGATAAAATTTTTAAAAATAATTTCATTTCTTGAGAAATTCGATGAAAATTGTATATTAAAAATAATTGAAATTCTGCCAAGAATTTTATTATAATTTTTGAAAATAATTGAATTTCGGAGAGGAATTTTATTTTTTATATAATAGATAATTAAAATTTTGACGAGAATTTTTGTAAATTTTTGGAACATAATTGGATTTCTGCGAAGAATTAGAATACTTTTGAAAATAATTGAATTCCTGAGACGAATTTTATTAAAATGTCTGTTTAAATAATTGAAATCTTATGTGAAATTTTATTGAAATAAAAGATATTGAAAATAATTGAATTTTGATAAATTATTGAAATTAATTAAATTTCTACGAAGAATTTTATGAAAATTATTTTGAAAAAAATTTTATTGTTACAAAGAATTTCATTATTTATGAAAATAAGTCAATTTTTTGAAGAAATTGAATTAAAAATGTATTGAAAATAATACTTAAATTGTAATAAATAAATTGTAGCAAAAAGTTTTTTAAATAATTGAATTTCTTTGCTGAATTTTAATAAAATTTTTAAGAATAATTACATTTGAGGAATTCCATTAAAATTGAATTAAAAATTAAAAATAATTGAAAGCCTGCCAAGAATTTTATTATAATTTATAAAAATAATTGAATCCTTGTAAAAAATATTATTTATGAAAGTAATTGAAAAATAATTTTAAATTAAAATTTTGTTAAAAATCTTTAAAAACAGGCGAAATTCCAAAAATTTTTTTAAATTCCATTCTATTTCCAGGTTATCCATACCCTTTTCTAAATTCCATACCTTTTCCTTTTTTCAATTTAAATTCAGATATAGAAATTAAAAAATTTAATTCGGATAGAAAAATTGCTAAAAAGTGAGATTAAAACTTTATGAAGAAAATATCAAAGATCATAAAAGTAAAAAGAGTATTATTCAATTTTCCAGTTTTGGTCGGCTTATGTTCCTTGTGGAGCGGCACAACTCAATGCCGTTCAACTTTCCTTGGAGCAAATCGACGTAATTCGGCGACTAGCAGAAATGAATGCTCAACATTTAACTTTGGTTACTAGCGTCAAAGGTAAGATGCACTAAATATCTCCAAACTAAATCTTTTTTATTGCTTCGATTCAAAAGGAATTTTTAACTTTTTTCTATTCCACTTTAAAACATTTTTTGACGCTCAGCGTTGATATCAACTTAATTATCAGCATAGAATTCTACTAATTGCTATAGCCAAAATTGACTTACTGCCAATTAGCAGAAATTTACTGGTTCAATCAATAAAATAGAGTTCACTGTTTCAATCAATTGTATAAAAATTTAAAAATATTTATATATTTCGCTTTTTATTTTATTTATAGTACTGATTTTCAAAAAAAAAAAACCCAACTGAAAAAGTTCTATACAATTTAAGTAAGAATATGAATTTATGAATATATGAATTTTAGTGAATTTTTCTATAGAATTTCATTAGAACGATTCTATAGAATTTCTACATGAATTCTACTAAATTATAGTGATTCTTAATTAGATAAAGAATATAAATTTCCTGAAATAATTTTGTTAACATTATATTATTGTATGGTTACTGCAGGGTTCGAACTAGGTCCATAAATTTGATTCAAGTCCGTAAAAGTCAGTTTTTTTTTTAAAAAAAAAAGGTCCGTAAAGTCCGTAACTTGATTAAAAAAGCACGAAAGTTCGTAAATTGTACTTTATAATTTGGAGAATTTTAGAGAAATTACAAATGATTGCAGAAATTCATTTATTTTCAAAAGTAATAAAATTTTTCACAGAAATTCAATTATGTTCAAAAATTTTTAAATATTCTCATCAAAATTTCAATTATCTTTAGAAATAATAAAATTCTTATCCGAAATTCAATTATTTTCAAAAAATTTCTTTAATTCAATGATTTTCAATATCTATTATTTTAAAGAAATTTTCCACAAGAAAACAATTATTTAAAATTTTTTTTATTAAATTCTACGAAAACATTGAATTATTTTCATTAAATAATAAAAATTTCAGAGAAATTTAATTATTTACAAATTTCTTCGCAATGTAATTCAATTATATTTCTAAATAATAACATTTTCTCAGGGATTCAATTATTTTTCTAAATAATAAAATTCTTTTCAGGAATTCAATTATTTTTATAAATAGTAAAACTCATCGCAGAATTTCAATTATTTTTAATAGAATTTTACAGGAATTGCTCAAAAAATGTAATTATTTTTAAAAATTGAATTTTAATTCCTCGAAAAAATCCATTATTTAAAAAAAAATGTTTTTTTACATTCTTTGGAAGAATTCAATTATTTACAAAAATATTAGAATTTTTCACAGGAATTCAATTATTTTCAAATATTTTAATAAAATTGTTCGAAAGAAATCAATTATTTTAAATACAATTTTAACTAAAATAAATAAAATTCTTTATGAGAATTCAATTTTAAGAAACAGTCAAATATTCAATAAATTATTTTTTTGTATTTAAATAATTGAATTCTAGTAGAATTTTCTAATAAAAATTGATTTAAAAATGAATTTCAGTTAAAAACAAATAAATTTGAAAATTCTCAAAAAACTTTTTCAAAAATTATTAAAAATAATGGATTTTAGTTAACACTAAAAAAAATTTTATTTTTGAAAAGTTACAAACTATTGCAGAAATTCAATTGTTTTCAAGAGTAATAAAATCCTTTGCAGAAATTTAATTATGTTAAAAAAATAAAAAATAGTAAAATTCGTCTTAGAAATTCAATTATTTTTAAATATTTTTATAAAATTGTTTGAAAGAAATCAATTATTTTAAATACAATTTTAACTAAATTTTTTTGAAATTTCTCGGAATAAGTAATTATTTTTAAAAATTTTATTAAAAATCGTCGAAGGAATCCAATTATTTAAAAATATGATGATAAAATTCTTCATGAGAATTGAATTTTAAGAAACATTAAATTATTCAATAAATTATTTATTTTTATTTTCAAATAATTGAATTCTTTTAACTAACAATTCTGTAAAAGAATTAATTTTTTTGAAAACGTTTATTTGAAATTTACTTGAAATTATTTTTTTGAAGTTTTTATTTTCTAATATATAAATTCAAATGAAGAATATCCGAATAATTGAAAATTTGTAAAATTAAATTGTAAAAAATTGAATTAGAAAATTTTCAAAGAACTTTTTCAAAAATTATTATAAATCATAAATTTAAAGAAAGTATTTTAGTTGAAAAATATTTTTCTTGAAAGATTTTAATTTTTTTCATAAATAATACATTTCATCGCAGAATTTCAATTTTAATGGAATTTCTCTGAAAATGTAATTATTCATACAAATTTTATTGAAATTCGACGAAAGAATTTAATTATTTAAAAATTGTTTAATGAAATTCTTTATGAGAATTCAATTTTAAGAATCATTCAATTATTCAATAAATTATTTATTTGCATTTATTTGTATTTAAATAATTGAATTCTCGTAGAAAAATAAAAAAATTCTCGTCGAAAAATAGAAATTGATTTAAAAATAAATTTCAGTTAAAATTTAAGATAATAATTGAATATGAAAAGCAATATAGCGTAAATATTTATAAATAATTGAATTTTGAAATTTTTTTGAAAAAGTATCATGTAATTTTTTTATATTATTTGAAGTATTTATTTTCTAATATATATTTAATTGAAGAATTTACGAATAATTGAAATTTGTAAAATTGAATATTATAAACAAATGGATTTGAAAAGTGTCGAAGAACGTGTTTGAAAATTAATTGATTTAAAGAAGAATTTCAGTGAAAAATGTTTAAAAAATAATAATAGAATTGAAATGATGAAAATAATTTTGAAGAAGTACAATATTCTTATAATATAAAATAATGATTTTATCAATTTGCCATCTTTAATTATTATAAAACATGAAGAAATCGATGTCTTCATGTTTTATTGTTATGACAAATTTAATTTATGGTTTATGGTCAGTAATTAGTCCGTAATTTTTAATTTTTGGTCCATATAGTCCGTATTTTTAAATACTTTCACTGATTCGAGCTTTGTTACTAAGTTAAATAAATTATATTATATTTAAATGATATAAACAATTTTTGCCTAAAATTTGTCATAGAAATCAACTGTAAAATTTAATTACACAATAATATAAAGTTGAAAAATATTATTTCACGAATTTAAATTCTTTCTAATTAAAAATAACTAAAATTTGTACACGACTTCTTATAAAAAAAACAAGTAGAAAGAGTCATAAACAATAAAAATCCTAAAGATGATAAAACGTCCACTAAAGTTGTTTATAAATTGAAATTAATTTATACACTCAAAAGGGTATGAAAATAAAAAGAAAACAGTGAAAAGAGAAAAACGGTCTCGCAGAAAGATAAATAAATTATACAATAATCTTCAGAATGTTAAAGTTGAATTATCTCGAAAGGTGTATTATCTTCTTTATTTTAAAGTTTTACTTATGAAATATTAAAAAGAAAAGCCGTTGTAAAGGAAAGCAACGTTATAAATTTATGCACGACTTTTCCAGTCGCGCAAATTTATAGTCAAGCCGCCAAGCATTTCTGCAAAAGCGAAGAGAACAATAGGCAGCTGCAGTTGCCCATTTGTTAACATAGCTCTATCCTAAATCTTCCAATTCTAACAAATATTTCCTCCCAGATTTCCCCACTCTCACAATTGCATTATTTTCTATTCTATAACTGCGGATAATTATCTGTCATTTACTTTTTTTGTCCAAAACAAAAATTAAAATAATTACTTTACAAACTTAAGTATTAAACGCATATAAATATTAAATATTAAATATTAAAAGTATTATAAAAAATAAAATAATATCTTCTAAGCTCTGTTTTTATCGCATTATATATCAAAATAAATAAAATTTCCTCATGAAAGAAATAAATTTGACATATAAAATATTATTCTCTTCTCATTTACACTCGAAAAGAAGAACTTGCTTTTCGCCGGGGAAAAAAATTTCGTATAAAATGTTTTATGTCACTAGAAGAGACTGCACTAGAAAATGATTAATTCCTTTTAAACTTTTTAACTATTTTTTTTCTGCCCGAATAGTACTTAAATAAATTACTCTGTTGAAAATTGTCTCGCTCTCTTTAAACGGATTACTTTTTTAATTGAAAATACAAGCGAGAGCCTAAAACAATTCCCGGAGCATTAAACAAAAAAAATAACTCTCATTTATCGCAATGATTTTTATAGATTCTCAAAATTTCCAACACTACTGTTAAAATAATTATTATAAGTATTAAATTGCAATCAATTGAGGATCAAATCAGAAATCAAAAATTGATCCAAATTTGATACATTCAAGAAAATGGTGAATCAGGGTGTATACCATTTTCGTTCAACAAAATTCCAAGTTATTTACCGGTTTTTCCCCTAATTTGTCTTAATTTTCCCCGGGTTTTTTTTCTCATCAAATTTAAATTTATTTGATTTCGAACATAAATAAATCTACAAATGGCTTCCAAAATTTTTATTAGAATTTTTATGAATAATTTAATTTTTTTGACAAATTTCTTGACATTTTTTGAAAATAATGTTTTTTTTAATAATTTTAATTAAAAATTCGGAAAATAATTGAATTAAACAAAGAATTTTTTCAATTTTTTAAAATAATCTTGTTTGTTCATAATTATAATTGAAAATTTGATTAATTCTATTTTATTAAAATGTTTTTTTTAAATTTTTTTAATTAAAATATATTGATACTAATTTGAATTTCTGCAAAGAATTTTACTAGCAGGTATTTATAAAAGTAAATGAATCCTTCAAAAGAATATGTTATTATTTATGAAAATAATTAAATGTTTGCGTAGAATTTTATTAAAATTTTTGAAAATAATTGAATTATGGAGAACAATTTAATTATTTATAAAGGTAATTGAAATTTTGAGAAGAATTTTTTTAACAGTTTCTAGAAATAATTGTATTCTTTCGACGAATTTCAATAAAATTTTTAAAAATATTAACATTTTTCGAGGAATTCGATTAAAATTGTATTAAAAATGATTAAAATTCTGCAATGAGT